GTTCAATTATTTATTTTTAACCTTTAGCCCAATTATCATGAATGTTTAGCAAAATTATAATGTTTTGGGTCTTTACTCTTTTAGCCGATTTGGTGGTTTTCGATTCCGGGTTTCAAAGAATGATTCTACCTAAGTGATTTWAATATGTTACTTTGTCACTTAAAAAMATTTYTGTTGTTTTAATTTGTAAGACTTTTAATATAATATGTATGAACTTTTATATTYTGTTTTATTTATTACCTATCTCGTCGAGCTATAGTCATGGTACATGTGTAMTAGGGCCTCCAAACCAATCTGAAGACTCTCTCAACACTTCCTKAATATACCCTCTACCCTCCCAACCCCCTTCCTCCAACTGYAGTTGTACAAGCAATAAACTACCCTAATCTGTTACAAGAATTACTATAATGTTAAAAACAATTCAGAGCCCTTGTTATGATCAACATCAAMCAATAAAAAAAAAGAGAGGAAAAAAGGAGTCAGCTGGTTTCATAAGCASTACATCAATGGTTGAAAAGTTCCTAAGAGAACCATGTCATAMATGTAGGGRAAAAATATACCAAGACTAGAAGCACRACGAAACAAAGATGCTTCACYGACRKAAAAATCCGTCGGGAATCATCYGAAAGAAATATCACCRCRGATCTTATCGTCGGASAAAGTGTGGCATATGGTCGTGATTACCAGCMTATTTTTAATCACCGACCAGAAAAATCCGTCGGTAATCCACCGGTGATCCGCCACGTCTTAAAAATACTCTTTATTTTATAGTGAGTCATATTTCTCACGGAAAGAAAATAWAGACATATGTGGAGTAAATAACTAGCATCAACAATAGGATATAAAATGTGTTAATATTTGTATGGTAAGGCCTAATTAATGTCACCAATCAAGTGACAAGAGTTTGTAATTTCCTACACAACTTGGAATCTTAAGTGTTGTCCTCTATGAAAGGGATGAAATATATATATACAATAAAGTAAACAAACAAAGCAAATTCACAAAAGGCAAAATATCCTCTATGAAAGGGATGAAGTATTAAAACCTACACATGTTTCCCCAATAGAAATTTTTAAGAGCACTGAACGCACCCATGCACAAACGAGTCTTGAAAAGAAAAACAACCTCAATGTGMGATTTAGATTTGATTCTARAATCTTAAGGAGTGCATTCCGAGGCACTATTCTCCTAATCATCATCTTTGGTTACATGTAAGAACCTATATGATGAACTAGTAGATGCTTTTCATATTTACTTGAAGTTAAGCCCCACTCTCGACCTCCTACAGAGTGAGCCTCATTGATACCTCAAGCTTCTCAAACATGAGCCTATGTGGAAGGGTAAATCACCATCCGCTTARCACCATTCTTATATTAAACCCCCTTSWTAGTTTTGAAAAAGAGAGATATCTTTGTAGTTGGAAATGTTAACATGGAAGTTGTATGAATGCTACTTGACAATTATCCTTTCTCTAGTCGGTGGCCTCTTTCAAGACACAAGGGATGAGAGATTCTTTGACTTGTTTTTCTYGATTGATTCATCCCAACTCTTTATTACAAGACTTTATCCATGGCGTTCCTTGTCATTTGTCACATATATTATATATGGTAAGTCATCATCCTCAATTGTATTTTGGATAGAGGTTAGGATATGTCCACATCCCACCCCCTGACACCCCCCCCCCCAAATACACACAACATATGGATTGGATACATTGGGCCCGTTTAATATGCTTGGTTTAGTTATCATCCTCATAACACATTCGTCATCTATAGAAACTTCGTTCAACTTCTAACCTAATAATTTTTGGTCCTCACTCTCTTTATGGGATTGCCGTTTCTAGAACCTCAAATTCCTAGCTATTTTGGGAGAGAATTGGAGATGACTTTGTTGATATATTCATTCTCCAAATCTAACCTATAAGGTGTATATATACACACAAACCCACACATATTAATTGAAGTCACCATTTGGTAAACTTGTAACAAATAGTATATGTTCATGAATGAGGCACTTTAAGATAAAAAAAATTTGTAGATGGTAGTGCAGCTCAGAAACAATAGTTGAGAATCCAATCCAAACCCTATATATGGCTCTCATTTTCCCCTCAGTAAGCAAGCAATTGACTTCTTATGTTATACAATAGTTTCTCCCTATGTTGGTTGTTATTGGGCTACTGGCAGCCAAAATGTTGGTCTGCATATGTTAATTTTGTTTAGAAATAACTACATTTGGAATTTTGGATACTAGAARACCTAACTCTTTTGGATGAATTGAAAAATGGACTTGAAGAATAGCTGCCAACTATTTATGGTTATCCCCTAATTCATCATTATCATTTTGGTAAATAAACAAACATAAATTAATGGTGCGAATAATAACTAGGATCAAGCGATGTCAATATTATGTGATGCAATTGGAATGAAAAAAATCAAACTTACTGCCGTTTGAGTAAAAAAAAAAATTGATTCCTTTATTAATGTATAATGAAAATACATTATCATGCCAACTGTGCCAAAATAGTTAATTAAAGAAAAACRATCCTATATTTCACAAGATCGCTCAATTGATACAAACAAGCAATTAAACATGTTTGAAGTAATTGATTTTTCTAACTATCAYAATATTGTATTTTGATTGCAAAGAAATAATCGATATAAGATGATATAAAAAAGGGTCGTGTAAACCGGTGAAAACCCCATGGTTAAAAGAAAAACTCCAAATCTGAAGCCCCCCCCCCCCCAAAATCCCCTTCATGAGTCGTGCCACCTTTGGGTTGATGAGAAACACAAGAAGCATTTTGGGACATAGCGACGAAAGAAAAAAGGGTGTGTGACAAGTATAAGAAAACARGAACCATAACAAGGTTTTGTAACATAGAACCGAACACTATGAGAGCAAGAACATTAGCTGTTTGTGGGAAGGGCTATCTAGTCAAATGACTTTTTACACCAGAGACAAGTCATTTGAATGTTATTCATTTAAAAAGAAAGGTAATGTTCCTATAATTCAAGGTCATTTAACTAAATGACCCATGTCGGAAAAGTGGCAAGTGGTGATGGACCTTTACCCTCCATTTTTGCCTAATTAACCTCCTTTGAGATGCAATTGGTCATATGATATCATGAACACACAAACAAGTTCATAATGGGTTTGATGATATAAATTGAAATTCTACACCTCTTAAGCAGATCTTACATTAAAAGGTGCCCTATCGCTATTGATGATAGCGTTCATCCAGAAATACTATTTACTACATGTTAGAATCTCCCCGGCTACAAAACGACAATATCAAATAGAGAAAGATGAAGAATATGCTGATCCACCTACTATACATCCACAGTTATCCACGACTAAGATGCTCATTCAAAGAGGCTGTTGTACCGAAGATGTTTCTCATAGAAGTTGATCAACTGTAAGTATCAATAAATAAATATAAATGAACACTCCGACCATATGTTGTTTCTTGACTCTTTTTTTCTATTAAACTTTGGGGTGGGGGTGCAAAGGAAAGAAGTTTACCAGAATTGGATTGTTTTCTTTGAGGTATTTGTTATCAACAACAACCTCTTCTCCATCTGACCTGCTTATAACCAACCAAACAAGATTTTRMCATTAACTATGGGTGAACTAGAGGAACTAAATTATGTTATAGAAGTTTGGTATCAACATTGCTTTCACATTGGCCAATACCTTGATGTTTTCAATGAGTCAATGGTTAAAAAGTGCCTTGTAAAACCATGCATAGTAAAGTTCATAAATATGATCAAATGGACATCAAGCTAACTATAAAAAATAAGAAGAGAGAGAGAGAGAGATAAGTGAACGAACCTCCTGACCAAAAAGCAAACAGACACCTCCTCGGTGTCGTTAACTATAGATGTTGAATAGTTCACGGGCTTGATAATCTTTATAATTTCAGAGATGATTGGGGGAGCATCTACGATGTTATCAGGATCCAACCCGTTTGTATTTTTAATCACATCTTGTCCAACTACGACACCATCAACAGTTGTGTTTCCCAGGGCATCATTTCTGAGAGTTGAGCTTGGTTCTTGCTTAAACCGCTTAACAGCAAAAGACTTCCTCTTTCTAGCTCCAATGAGGTGACCAAACCTTCTAGCTTCTGTTCCATCAACCTTCAAGATTCCATCTGCAGGTCTAACTTCTACTGGACTAACCCCTTCAGTTGGTCGAGCTTCTTGGATATGGATAGCAACATCACTCAAGCTATCCTGATTGCGGGAAGATGCAACTTTAAGTTGATTAAGATGTGCATCCAACTCATTTCTCTCTTGCCTTTCTCCAATTTGCGTGGAAACCATTAACAATCCAGTATCATGTGACGGGTTTGTTGTTCCTTTATTGCCTGTGCCCCCAACATTGGTTTCTGTCCCATTACTAAAGTTGGCATAAGGGGCAGAAGGAACTGATAAAGGTTCCTCTATAAATGTGACTTTCACGGTAGGTATGTCATATGAAGCAGCTGGAGAACTCTGTTCTGATTGTTTCTTTTGYTTCTTTTTTGGCTGTGGTGTAGGAACCAYGGACTGCTTGCGCTTACCTTTYCTGTTTGATYTTTGTTTCCCGTGCCTCARGCTTCAATTTTCAAAAWCAAGAAGAAAGCATCAATAATCATATTCCTTGTCATTTCATTCGTAACAAATTAGGGCTTGTTTGGGATATGCTTACAAGTTACAATTAAGCATATAGATTCAATGCTATACAAATGTTAAGGTCATTTTAAGTATTGCTTGTCTTTGTTACAAAAAGAAAGTTGTTTACTGCTTCTCTWTATAAGCACACATGGAAGGGGTAAATCTTAAGGAAATATATAATTTATATCTGGTGCTTATAAACATGAATGCCCTTGTGAAATCCTAAACCAGCCCTTCATGTAATTGAATACAAAAAAAAACACAGACTAATAAAAGGAAAACCTCTCTTCAAATGCTTCAATGACATCTGGACATGACAAGAGATTCTCAACAGGTTCCCAAGTGTTCGTTTCCTCCGGCCAGCCACGCCTTCATTCGAGCATAAGCATATGTTTTAATCAACTGAAGCATATTCATAGACATACCAATAATCCAAATATCCCAATTCATAATTAAATCAGACAATGAAATGGCCAAGAGAAAAAACCATTTGAAATTGGTGTCATGTTTGGGAGTACAAAATCACAATTTCGGAATCAGAATCAAAGTTCACCAAGACTATGTTAGGGAACTCCAATCACATGGCTTTTATTAGGATAGGAGCAAAAATTAATTTCGAATTTGAACCAACAGATACAAGATTGATTCCATATCCCATTAGCTCAGGTGCTGAATCCATATCCCATTAAAGCTCAGGTGCTCTTCAGGGAACAATAATTTAGCGAAATGGTTGAAATCCAAAATTTCAAACAAAATTAACACCAACATCGTGTTTTTTGTCAAATTAAAAGGATACAGCTACGGCATATAATCATGTATAAATGACAATGGATACAGCTACGGCACGCACCATTTTATGAGATATTGCTTTTTCCCCTGTTTTCCCAAAGCAAACCACCACGAGGCCGAATCGCAGAATGCAAATTCACAGACAACAAAATCCCCAAATAGATCAGGCTAAATGTAACCATAAAATGGAAGAAACTAAATTAACAAGAAGCAATTACAACACAGAGAAAGAGCTATAATAAACCTTCCGGGTCCTTTTCTTCCGCACGGCTTCGACCTCATAGAAACCCTCYGCCAAYTTCGGTCGCTCTCCATCACCATCGTTTTGACCTCCATCCACTCCTCCTCYGTGRACATCTMCATCACCAGATTGATCACGCTCCTCGTAATCATCCCCTTCCTCATTATCGTACTCATTTCCAGCAACTTCACCGTCATTTATCGGCTGCTGCTGCTGCTGCTCTTGCTCTCGCTCGTGTTGTACATG